GCACGGGTGTTGATGAGCGGAAGAGGTTGTTGTAGAAGTTTTTCACGATAGATTCTATCTTATACTGGAAGTCGGAGTCCCTCTTTGTTCAATAGTGCAGTCAGCGAACATCACGTACCGCGAAGATCACTGCTTCATTCAATATTGCTCGAAAAGAGAACGTTGTCGTCTGCGAAAACGAAGATTCGACAGGAATCTCTTATTAACGTATGCCTCTCACGCCTCAGTGCAAGGCCGCAGTAGACAGCTTCGGCGAGATTGTATCGCCTTGTCGAATCCCTTTTCAGTTGGATTGGTCGTTATACAGTCCTTGTAGCAGTCGGCTAGTGTCCTCACGTAAGCTAGGTTCACTCCTTGATCGCCTAGCGCTGATAGAATGGCGTTGGTTTTGACGCTGTCGAAGGCTTTCTCGTAGTCGACAAAGGTTAGGGAGAGAGGTATTCGGTACTCTCGGCAATGTTTATGACTCTCGAATCCGGATGTGGTCCATGCAGCTGGATGTTTTGCGAAATTCAACTTGTTCGTGGGTCTTCCTTCATCCATGTTCCAGATAGAGCGAGATCAATCTTTGCAAAAGCTTGTACAGCACACTCAGCAGACATATAGGACGGCACTTGCGAATACTGTTCGCCTTCCTTATAGGGAAGGACGTTTTTTGACGTTCTCCACTGGTCGGGATCTTTTCCTTCTGAAGGTAGGATGCTAGATGCTACTTGAGGATTTTGTGGACATTGTCTTCCGGCTTGCAGAAATTCGATAGAAAGATGATCTATTCATGAAGCCGTGGACATCTCCATGTCTGGATCGCCGTGCACACTTCAGGTATAATCCGTACTTCTCCATTGGGAACAGTGGGTGCTTTCGAAGCATTGATGAACTCGGGAAGAACACAAGTAAGATCTTTGCACTTATATCTTGTTCTGCCTTCGTGCACTTAATCATGTTCAACACTTTCTCTTTGTGTGAATTCCGCGTCATTACACAACAGTAGGTGGTTTCAGCGAAAGCTTCATTTGTTTGACAGAATATTCTTCGCATTCGCTGGTTTACAAGCAGAGATAGGGCGTTGGCGAAAATGGGAAAAACATTGTTGAAAGGCAGTTGTGAGACTTTAAGACCGCAAGATATTTTTAGAATGAGTCTTCCTTTCTGTAAGACATATGAGAGGTCATTTGATCAAAATCGCACAAAATTGATCTAATTTCTATAGTTTCCATGTTTCGCTTTCTTTGAACGTGGGCGTCATATGTAGTCTCCAATTGTTCTGAGCCACGCAGGGTGATCTTTATTTATTCATTTACAACTTCACCTTTATAGAGACCAACTAAAAACCTGCGTGGCTCAGAGCACTCGAAGACTAAATCTGATTTTGATTTGAAAATTAAATCCTGCTACTCCAACGAGCTTCAGAAAGCTAAAAACACTGTTTTCAGTGAGATTCTATGCGAATGTAGCTACTGTTCATATTTTCTTTCTATAATGGCTCAAGTTCACGAATGTATTTCGCGTAAGAGTGCTTCTCACCATGAGGGGCATTTCCGCCATCACTACAAAAAACGAAAAGGGACTAATTTGGCTAACAAATCTTCAGTAAGGGCGTGTACATGATATATCTTTGTTCTACAGAACACTGACGTTCCATAGGTAGCAGAACCTTGAAGAACTTCATTTTTTGTGTGGTTTGAGCCTGTTAGAAATTTGCCTTTTCAATGTTCTGATTTATTGAACACCTTTTGGAACTCTTTAAAACTTTCAGAACACATTGCAAATAGAAAGCTCTAGACGTGAATATTGAGATACACGTATC